GGCTATAAGGTCCTGTCCCTCGCCTAGAGTCATGCTCTGGCCTTTCCGGAGACGTGTTTTCTTAGCTCTCCGGCGCTTACTAAGTACTGCATTCTCGTCTTCAAGCATCTTCATCCTTGCCTCCATTAGGGCGAACCGGTGCATGATCCCCTTTGCTCCCTTCGTGAACTGCTCAACTGCTTCAATAATTGACGTTGGAGAGCTTCCCTGCTGACGAGAGATCCGACGTTTGATGAAATTAGACTGTGAACGGGCTTCCATAGCGGTGGTGGGCGTTCGGGAAGTCCATGGCTCCGGTGACGTCCGAGGCGTCCTCGAGGGTGTTGGCGTCTTGAACTTCACATCGAGCTTGGATAAAACGGCTTCAGGGTCATAGGGTACAAGTCCCGCCCCTCTGAAGCCTCCCTGGATGTTTTTTTCCGTCATTGTCTGCTGGAATGCCGCTAAAAACGAGGGGAGGAAGTCCTCCTTGCTGATATGCGTTGTACCCGCCTTCATCTTAAGCTCAATTTGCCGACCGTATGCTTTCTTCAGCGGACCAAAACAGCCAACATCGAGAGGCTGGAGTATATGAGACGAGTGAGGAGGCATACAGAGCGTAATAATGTTGTTGTCCTTACAGTAGGGCTCGAATTCGACCGAGTGGTGACTTTCGTGGCCGTCGAGGACGAGGAGGCGATAACCGCCTTTTGTTCGCGACTTTGTGTGCTGATCGAAATGTCGAATCCAATCTAGACCAATTTCGTTTGTAGTCCAGCCGTTTGCGGATGTTACGATTCTCCAGTCGCGAGGAATCGCGTTATCTTGGTACCAGGTCGAGAGGTGATATTTGCCGGCAAATACTACGAACGGCGGGACGTAGAATCCAGTCGCGCTAACGCCCTGGATTACCGTAACCCATTCCCGATTACCTGGTTGCTTCATCTTAACGTTCGACCGTATTTGCGCGTTTGTAACGACCATCCCGGTCGCGATAACGCCCATCTGAAAGCCTGTCTCGTCGAAGTTGTAGATATCGGAGTCCGCTACGCCGTTTTTCGCGACTACGTTCCGCACAAGCCGAAACCACGCGTTTATCGCGTCGGGATCCTCGCATTGGGCTCTCTTGTAGTCGTACTTGCGAAAGAAACGCGTCTGGAGCTGTGGTTGTCGCTTAACGAAGTTTGACGCCCATCGTGGACCGACGCGTGGCGCAGCCCGCTTATCGAGCAGTCGATTCGCCATTTCTCCAACCTCACTTAGCCGAGGAGGATATGCTCGCGCATCCAAGTCGAGAATATAGTCGACAATCGTCTGCTCCTCTAGCTCTGTTAATTTCATCGAATTTGGTAGGCTATCGCGTCGAGAAGGCGTCCCCTTATAGCGGCGGGTAAGCGTTGTTCGAGAGACGTTGTAGATTGCAGCTGCGCGGCGTATAGAAAGGGAAGGATCACGGTCCATAGCTTGAAGAGCGAGATTCAATTGGTTATCTTTAGAAGGGGTCTCCATGGCTGGTTGTTGAGTAAGATGTGTTAGAAGATGGAATTCTAGTGAAGTGATGGAGGTGGCCCACTCGCTATGCTGGCCCACTCGCTATGCATTTACGTTATCGCACACATAAAGCTAGCTACAGCTATCTCGTTGTCCTATGGCCAACATCAGGGGGGGCTTTCTAGCGACCTACATATAGCGAGTTCCGGTACAATAGTACGGATTTAGAACCGTGGCTGCTGGTTTGGAACATTTTTTGTTCCAAGCCGCTACCTGAATCTGGATCACGGATTAAGTGCAACGGTTCCTCTCCTTCTATTTCCTGTCCAACCTAACAACTCATCACTGCTACACTGGATATATGCGGGGTGAGAAAATAAGGCATAACAAGGTAGTGAGGTGCTGCGACTCCGGCTCAAACACGACGCGTTGGCGATGCGCCCGCGATGCGAGATAAAAGTGTAAGGACAGTGTGGGCACAGGAGCTTTGCCTGAGGAGGCACCTATTACCATCTTTTTTGGTATGGCTCAACTAGTGAGAGCCATTCACCGAACGTGTAGAATATAAGCTCGGCTACAATAATGTAGTATCCTACATAGTCAGCCACTTTTACCTAGCTAGACGGGTCCGACTGCCGACATACTAATGCCCTAAATAACATGGAATAAAGAATGGAAAGAAAAGGCAGGGAAAAAGTTAGAAGTACGACCTAGTAGGCTACCCGCAATCCAAGCAAAATCTCGCATTAAAATGCCCATTGTAGCACGCGGCCAGACGCACATCCAACAACTACCCTCCTCTTACCTACGGCTGATACAGTAGGACGATACTCTGGTGGTAGCCAGAGCCATTTTTCATCGTCGAAAGCAATCCAAGTGCGATCTGCGCTTAGACCATAGCCACGACGCTGCCCGTTCAAAGACGAATGTGAAAAGGGCGTGGATAAGATCGAAGAGGCTTGTTCTAATGCCGTAGGTAAAAGCGTAAATGTGCCAAGATCAGTGTGGAGGCAGTCCCCTTGTTTGTTAAACTCGATATGAGATACTTTCATCCCCATATCGAGTGTCTGGAGGCATTGGCCTGTCGTGGCATCCCACACCTTGACGGTCTTGTCGCCCGACGCCGACGCGAGCCGGCAGCCGTCGTGCGAGAACACGACCGAGGTGACCCAACTGCTATGCCCCTCGAGTGTCTGGAGGCATTGGCCCGTAGTGGCATCCCACACCTTGACGGTCTTGTCGCCCGACGCCGACGCGAGCCGGCAGCCGTCGTGCGAGAACACGACCGAGTTGACCGCATCGCTATGGCCCTCCAGCGTCTGGAGGCATTCATTCCACTGATCTTCCATGGCCGGCTTCATTTTGATCCAAGTCGGTTCTTCGTGTTGAAAAGTCATCCTAACGCGGCTGCGCGCAGGGCTAAACACCAATGCAGACGCATAGACCTGTAGCGGATGGTTCTCAATTATCCATCGATAGTACGTAGCAAAGCGGTGTGCATCCTGAAGAAAGCCATGTAGACTGTTTTCCTCCATGTCAATCGTCGAGTACGGGACAACGTGTCCTGTGTTTCGAAGCTCGAGTGGTCGATGCGCTAGTAACTCACTGGCAAGTCTGCTCAAGGACACAACAGCGCCAGGCAGTTGTTTCACAAGACTCAGACCCTCGAGCCAATGGAGAAAGTGGATCCGAAGGAATGTAGCGACTGAGTTCATTATGTCGTCGTCCTGCAATCCAGCGTTCGGCTCGAGGAGGTGGCGTATCCAGTAGGTGCATGCGTACCGAACATCGAAGAGTGGATCCGGAGAAGGTATAATGACGTCCTCAATTGCAGCACCGGGCTGACGAAGGTTGTATATGTCTCGCCGTAACGTCGTGGACAAGCACTGGAGCGACCTGTATACTATTCCGTGGTGCACCCTTCCCACTCCCGAAGGAAATATAAAAAGTGAGGCGTCTGCGGACAAGAAGTCCTTGGCGGACTGGTGGACAATGTATACGTGCTCCTCTCGGACTGTAAGGAAGGACCCGCACATGGCCACTGCCTGTCTGCAATCGTCTGTGCTACATCTTTCGAGCAATTTAGACAGAACGCGCAGCTCTTTGAGATGAAGTGGGCGATATGCTGTTACAACGACCGAGAGCATTTCCAGGCAGCGACCCGAACCACGTGGTAGCCGCTGAAGACGGTCCATCATCCTGCAGTAGACGCTTGTCAAGTCGGACGGCGTCTCATCAATGACCTCTAACATGTCCAAGCTCATTGTGTCGCGGAGCTCCGGGACGACAAGGGAAACCCAGAGAAATGTTCCATCAGCCTTCTGGCGCAGCGTGTCTTTAACTTGGCCTTCAAGCGCAACATCCGAAATTACAAGCAGCTGGGAGACACAATAGTCAATGTATGCGTCGACCGCGTGTGCGACCTGCTCTGCGTTCTCTCTCAGCTCAAGGCTGAGCCGAGCGCCCGAAGGATTTAGACGCAGCCTGCGCTCGATGTCGATGTTGTTGCGGCTCGATACGAGCCACTTGGCCGGAGACTTCCCTACGGTTCGAGAGATGAAGCCCAGCAGACTCGGCAAGTCCTTCGTACATTCATCGAGGGCATCGATGACTATGAAGACCGGCGGAAGCGCAGGGTCCCGTAAGATGTCCGTTAAAATCTCGGACAACGCAATCCAGGCGTTCGCATCCTCGAACAAAGCTCGGCCGGCGTGGTCGTACTGTTTCCGCAGGTGTCCGATCAGCGACGGCTGCTGGCCAACGAGCATGTAGATAAGCCCCCGAAGCACAGCTGTCGCACTGTTGATACGCGCGTCAGTGTCCTAGCAGAAGAAATAGGACAGGCTCCTGCCGGTGACTGGCGTCAGCTCGTCGATGATGCCGCAGAGGAGCATGCTTTGGCCTTTGCCAGGGTCGCCCATGATCCGGAGCAGGCGTGTCTCTGGGTCATCGCGCCATTGTCTAAACTCGGCGTTGTCCAGAATCCAGCGGTACGAGGCTGGGAGGAGGCCACCTTTTGTTTGCTCGATTCGTATCTTATCATGGCGCGGGTCGGTGGCTCGAAGGTCCCTAAGACACGCAGCGTCTTCCCCGGGGCCGTTGCTTCCTGTATTTACGTTATTAACGATTGAGGTGAAGGAATAGGGCTAACGAACCCATGTACAAGTCGCCCGTCACAGCGATGTTGTCGCGGCCGATTGCGATACTTCCGGAGCCGCCATTCTGGATTGTCTGGCCGTGGATGTCCATCCCGACAATTCCAACACGCGAACGAACACGCCAGCGACGCGTCTCGACACGGTTGCGACCAGGTCTTGACGCGATGGCCTGCGTTGTGCCGTAGCTGAGCCTGGTGACTTGATTGCTGCGCGTCAGCAGGTCACGGTTCGTGTTCAGGCGAGCTCGACCTGCAGCAGCCCGTGCAGGTCACCAACACTGATACAGCCAACCAACCGCTCACGTGACGGTATTTAAACAACCCCAGCCTATTCACTTGGCACGTTCACTTTTCTGCACTCGACAACTTCACAATGGCGTCCCAACCACCTCATGACCGCACGCAATTCCACAGTGCCATAATTTGTGCGTTGCCTCGCGAAGCCGATGCCGTCACCTTGCTCTTCGATCACTTTTGGGACGAAAGGCGTGATCCCTACCGCTGGGCGGATAATGACACAAATACCTACATCGCTGGTCGCATCGGAGAACACTTCGTTGTCCACGAGCCATCCTCCCGAGCATGGGTACCAACAGTGGGTGTGTCCAGGCAATACTGGGCCATTTTAGTTCTGAACCTGAGGCTAAAATTCGCATCCAGGCGAAAGTTTGAGTCAGTGGCCGAATAGAGCATCCCTCAATTCCGTGACCAAAATCAAGGACTGCAAGATCCCAGCTTCCCCGCTTCTTCCGCTGCTTAAATATAAAACATGGTATCCTTCAACTTCTCATGAATCCTCACATCTTCATTCCCAACTTGCAACCCCTCCGTCTGACTTCCGGCCAGTGACGGCTCCGCGGACTGTGTCGGCGTGTCAAACACACCACTCAGATAGCACCTAGCCCTCTCACAGACAATATCAGCATAGTAAGCCGGCGTACACAGACTGACTGCCTTGGTCGTACGCCCATACACATAGCACAAGCTCTGCGTTAGGTCCTCAAGCACATCCGCCACGTTGCTGCAGTCCGGCGGCAACGTCTTGGCGTAGCGAGCTCGGAAGATCTCATCGAGCACGACAACGTAGTGCCCTGGACGCGCGGTGCCCTGGATGGCTGCGTGCGCTTGGAGGAAGAAGTCCCAGTTACGTGCCTCTGTGACACCGCGGTCGACGATGGTGCCGGGCTTCGGGTTGCCGGACCGGTCGGCGTTGGCTTCCTTGGTCGGGTAAAATCGCGTGTGGTGACGCTTACCGACAATGACGATGGTGAAATGTGGGAGGTCCTTTTTCTGGTCAGAGGTCGGATACACCTCCGTACATGCCTTGCGCAGCCGCGGAAGTTCCTCATCGATGACTTTGTCATACTGACCCTCGGAGACGCCGTCACGGTATACCAAGATATTCTCGGGCAGGGACTGGTGGTGTCCTTTGGTTTTCCACAGCTGGAGGCGTGATTTAAGCATGTCTGACAGGTCCGTGACCATTTCCTGGCGAGCGCCGGCCTGGACCCGGAGAACTGCAGGCCACTGGCCAAGCCACCTATCAACGCTGGCAACCATCCCGGCGATGCTTGGCGCGCGAGAACTAGACCCAGGAGACGGGTGTGTGACGTCAATACCGACAACCATAGTCTTATTCTCGTTGATTATACCAAGGCGTGGTTTATCGAGTAGCTGGTTGTTTCCGCCCAGTTTCAGGTTGAGCTTCAGGGCGACATTGGCGAAGTACTGGTCCTGGCCCTTCTCTTTGGCAATCTTATGGCCAACAACGCAGATAGTTTGGATCCCGTACTTAACGTCGCCGCAGTGTTTGATCCTGTTGTAGAGGGGGTTGGTATCTGGTAGGATAATGAAAAGCAGGTGTAAGGACTTGGCAGCTAATTTGAAGACGTTGTCGAGCTCCGGGTCATCCTGGTCTCTCAGGACTAGTCTTCGTCCCAGAGCCGGGGGGGCCACGACCATTCCGGTTTTGCGCAAAGCCTCTTGAAACTTGACGAGCATAGCGATGAGACCTGCTTGATCAAATGCGTCCCGCCGATCAGATATCGAAATGAGTAGGTACGACCAATTCGTCATAGTCCCGGTGGTGTTTAACTTCACGTTAACCATATTCCAGCTGCCAGAGCGCACCGGGGCAGGCTTCCCCTCTTTGTACAAGACCTTAGGCTCGTTGAGAACCCTCCCTGACACAGTGATCAACTGAGGTGGGACCGATACGCCAAACCGATCCTGTCATAAAGAGTGAGTCGCGGTGTGCAGCGATAAAGAGGGTGTTACCTACCAGAAGCACGTTCGCCTGTGATGAAAGACCAACTGTTTGAAAACCATCGCGGACTATTGAAGCAGCATTCTCCCATGGGCTCCGTACAGCAAACTGTATCATTTGTTGGGTTTGCGCGGGGTTGAGCTTTGAGTTTGAGTTCTGACCTGGAACGACGACACAGACCTCAGGTGGAAGATAGCTTGGGGTATCTCGTGTACCGACGTTGATGATGGGGATCATGGGGTTGGTCTGCCAATTATATTCTATTCGGACAGTTATTATAAAATGAGCTCCCCAGCAGGCATTCAGAGACTCACTGGTCCAAAAGAATTCGTAAACACTGATGTATCCGCCACTGGACGAGGTCGACGATGGCTTGTCGGAAGGGCCTGCCTGTTTCCATTTCTGCTTTTTCTTTTTACCTTCCTCCTGACTTCCAGCTCCTGGTGAGCTGGCCGGCTGGCCTCCCCCACCGCCTTCGAGCCAGAACTCCACATCCTTAGGACCTGCACCGAACTCTTTTACCCTTGGGGGGTGCTGGAGGCCGTGTCCGTCATTCGTGTTGGCGAGGCCAACAATGGTCTTGACTTTCCGCACGATTTCACCCTTTTTGTTCTTCCTTTCTGGCAGGTGAATAGGCCCCACCTTCAGCTTCGCGAGGAAGTTGTTCAGTTTGTACTTGCTTCTTTGGTGAGCAGAGTAGTACATGAACATGATCTTGTCCAGCGGCCCTGCTTCATAAAAGGCACCGTGGCTGACATTCACATTGACGAGGAGGCGGGAGGTTGCCACCCTCACGCTCGAAAAGAAGCCTCGTATTGCCGTCAATCCTGTGCCAAGATCCCACTTATCCGCGTTATCGGCTAGAGAGAATTTCTTGCTAGCCCCAATCGTAGCCAAATTCCCCGTCAGCTTTGAGTGATGGTTGAGGAAGATGTTGAAGGCCTGAACCAGAGACTGAGCGTCGTTGAACCGCGCGCTTATGTTCGTAGATGTGAGATACTCGATCAGATGCGAGACACTCAAGGTATTCGTGTATAGGAGACGAACTTCGTATTGGGTGGCATTTTGTCGAGGTTCGTCCTCATCTTCCGAGCGGTACTGGATTTTGGCAACCGTCTCATCCGCGGGCAACTTCTGACGCGACACAAGAGTTGACTTGAAGTCAGTGGCCACATCCAGTCGAAATTCCATCAATTCTTCGGACTCCAGTAACAGCCTGACGACCTGGCTAAGCTTTCTTCCGGCGACCGCGGGTGAAACAGCAATATCGTATCGGTAGAACATGACTTTTGGGGGTGGACACATTTCGAAATAGTTGGCCCACAGCGTCACGGGTGTGCCTTTCGTGCCGAAGCCGGGACGACAAGGAAACCCCTCTCGTAACTTTGAGCCTGCGAGACTAAGGCCACCTTTGGTAGCGGCCAGAAGGGCATCTTCGGTCTTCGCGACAATCGTGTTTGGAACAGGGATGATTCGATCGGGAGTCCTCCATCGTTGGTGTCAGTAGAGTCGTGGAGGAGAGGGGCAAAACCATGCTAGATATACGTACGAGAACACCGAAACAGTCACGCCGCCCCTTCCTCTGCCCTGGAAGCCTCCACGGGCACTGCGGGCTCTACTAGAATCACCCCCAAAACCTCCCCGTCTAGGGCCACGTCCTCCGCCGCCACCACGAAACGAGCCACCACGACCTGGAGCGGACATAACAGGAATAGGTGAGTAGGACCGAGAAGATATCTCGGCTCTGGAACGTCAGATATCAAAACTGAAACCAGAGCAGGAGAAAAAGGAGCTAGCCGGTGTGCACTAGTGCAAGGAGTGTAAAGGGAAGAATGGTGAGGCTTTATATCAATGACCACATATCTCCGGCCCATCAGACGGTCCTATTGGGGATCGAATGGCCAGCGGTGACTGGTATATATTGACTGAAGCCTTGGACATAGATGCCCGAAAACGGCTGCTGTCACCCATGGCGTTTCGTGGGGAGGGTTGCCCCGACCCCGACTGCAGACGTCAGCCTTACATCACTGCCACTAACGTTTCTGACTGGCCCAAATTGCATCACGTGACTGGCATCCCAACCAACCAGTTGTCACGATCCGATCTCCGGGGTCAACCGTCTGACCGGGCGCTAGGGGTTTATGTCCTGGATAAGGCAAGTAGCAGCCTCATGCAATACTGACTCCGTGCTGTCGTGTTCTCTGGGATTTGTCGTTCGTGTCTCTTGCGAGATATCACGCTTGGGTCAATTGAGTGACTAGGTCAAGTGAAAGGTAAGAGTGATACTTAGATTGATCGCTGAAGTACAAAGGTAATGACTGTCTACAAGGAGATCCTCCTGGCTCTATATATCCTTTGTCCTTCATCGTGCCTGGTGTCCCGCGACACCATTGTGTCGCGTGCCGACGACTTGTCGTCGGATGGCCGACGAGTGGTGGTCGCGGTGCGACTGCCCACTGTCGGTTGCTGACGTAAGTGGAGGTGCTTACATAACGTGTTCCCCGCCAGCCTTCGCTGGTCCGCCCTTGTCCCTGGCCTGATCCTGCGGCCTTGTTTGTGCTGGGCCTGTTTGTTACCTTAGCCCCAAACAGTTCCCCTGTTGGTCGGGTCGTCACACCAGTCTCCAAAAGAATAAGGATACATTAATTTACTAGCGCTTTCCACACAAATTGATGTACCTCATTTCTCTGGCCTGGCAAAATGTGCACCGCAATCCAGGCTATGGGTCGTAAATGCTCATGCCGCCTGGGGTTAGGCGTCATACAGCAACGGTGTCACAAGATGAAACAAAAGCTACGTAACTTTGTCCCATGATCCGGGGATCAGTATGCAGAACATGCTGTGACCGCTCCGTTTCGGTATAGCGTTCTAGCCAATACTTAGCGCCTTGCTCACATAGATGCGAACAGATACGTACCATCCAACCCCTTGGCGACTTGGCGCCGAATGGCGTGCACAGAGGCTTTGCTGTAGTTGTAGTCCTTCATCAGTACGCGCGCAAAGATACTGTCGAGCGTCGATCCGGTCATCCACTTGCTTGGATGGCAATTCCCGCTACTGTCGAGAGCTTGGCAGGTGAAGCGATCTTGAGCTTCGGGAAGCCACTCGATAGGGCCCTCGCCCTCTCCATCTATGATGCGCATGAAAGCATGGCGATCCAAAGCCCCATCTGCTATCGCAAAGTTGATAAGGAGAAAGACAACGTCGTAACGAAGAACCGCATGCTCGTAGCCTGTGATACCAAATCTACCCCATGTTAGCATTGGCCTGATACCAGTCCAGTGATGACGTACTTCTTGTTCGTCGGATCCTTATTGTTCTTCACATGACGTTGATCGAGCCTGTACAGAAAGTGAGGCTTGCCTTCGGTCCTTTTTAGAACGAGGCGTATATCCTGTGATGTGAATATGTGAATATCAGATCTTGTTCGTAGAAGGTCCGAGGCTTACCTTGTAGGGCAGGCCTTTGTTGAAGACAGCGCCGCATCGACCTGCACTGTTGCAAAACAGAAGCAGCAAGAAATGGAACTGGAGACGATTGCGTTCATGAATATAACCGAGTTCGGCGGACGTCCATAAGGTTGAGATGTTTCGATCGAGATCTTCGTGTTGATAGTTGTACTTCGGCATCTCTAGGTCCCGAACGCCACTATGCTCCTCCTGAGATAGCACGTTAAGCATCCACTGCAAAGTACGTTAGTATTGCGGGGATAAGGGCAAAGGAGGTCCGTACCGAGTTAATCTCTGCTGTGTCCGCCTCGCTCAGTGTGTTCCCAGTCCGCCGCAGGAATCCGGCTTTGAAGGATTTCGCGCAGGAGCGAAGAGTCCTCACTGTCGGCCGCGAACTTAGCCGACCACGAGCTTGGTCTTTGTAAAACCTCCAGAAGTCCTTTAGTGAGTGAATCTCTGGAACTGGAGCGCCTGGGCGAAGGGCCTGCAATTCGAAGTCGTCAAAACTGCCCCGGTGGTCACTATTTCCCCAAGACCATCTGTATCCGTTAGGAGCAGCCCGTTTCTTTGGTTGAGCAAGGCTTACGTGGTGTAGATATGCAATACTCTGTCCTGCGTCTTCAGTGTCTTGTCATCGAATTTCCGGAGGCCTCTCTGCCTGTCGTTCTCCTCGTGCCTTCTGCTTTGGTAGCCGTTAGACCTAGCGCGGTCGACAATAGAGCTTGGGTCAGGGCGTCTTTGCCGCGACGAGGACATGGTCGCGTCAACAAAACAACATCCCCATTCGGGCTGGCTGGACAGAACAATGACTGCCTCGGCCGGGACCGTGCCAGCCCACAAATAGCCCGCATCCCCGAGTCCGCTCAGCGGCCCAGCCATCGCCGGCCGCCCCTGCCCTCATTCGTCCAGCGCTCAGCAAGATACTGTAATGGGGTTTTGCGACTCGACACTCCAGCGTTACTCAGAAAGCACCCAACCCAAAACGCTTACTCATGCCTGCGTCCACCCTGGCCCCGAGCACTTGACCAGCCTCAGGTCAGACATTCCTCGTTGGCCGAGTGGCCACGAACCCGACGAGCGCCACCTCGGCGCCTTCCTTGCCTGGCCTGACGTCTGGCTCGTTGAACTCGCCCGTCTTGCGGAAACCGCACTTCTCCAAGACGCGTTGGCTCGGCACGTTGTGTGCCTCGATCATGGCAACCACGCGGTCCGCACCCACCATCCTCGTGCCGTCGGCGCCAGCCGGCACGTCGTCCACCGTGCTGATCGGCACTTCCAGCTCAACTTCTGATCGTGGCAGCTCCCACCACGATGTCAGCCAGGCTTGTAGGAACTCTGTCGCATAGCCTTTCCCCCAGTGCTCCTTCTTGAACATGTATCCGACCTCGGGCCACCCCATCAGACTGCTGAACGCCCAGAAACCACCACAGCCCACCATTTCACCCGTGGCTGCCTCGTAGACCGCCCAATGGTGCGTTGTTGCATCGTTGGGCGGCAAGACCGGATTGATGCGCTCTTGTGTCTCGGCGAGATCTTTGTCCGGCACGCCTCGGCGGGTGAAGACCATGACCTCGGGCTGTATGCGTAGCGAATGCATATCCTCCAGAACATCTTGCGTGAATGGTCGTAGTATTAGGCGTTCCGTGCGAATCTCGCTGCGGCCTTCCGACACCAGAGGGTAGGGAACCGTTGGCAGCTGTACGCGAACCTTGACATTGTCCATGGTGTTGTGACTAGGCGCTTTGTCCTAACCAATTGAGAACTCTCTGGTCGTGTTTTTGGCAGATAAAGTTCACGTGCTCGAAAGGTCACAAATGTGACTCGTGTCGCAAGATTTGTCGTTGACTACCCGAAGACATATATCTGCCTGGAGCTCGGCTTGTCGGTGGGCTTGCGCATCAAGCCGAAGCCGAGGAGCCTCCCGGCATGCGTGGGGCAGGAGATGGCGGTGAGCGACGATAAGGCAAGAGGCCACGGTTGGCTCGTCAAGACGCAGTCCCCACGTGGGCAGTGCGAGTTATGGCTCAAGGATCTAGCACGAGCTGGAGCTGTTCAAGCAATAAATTCAAAAATTTGGCACCGCCATACGAATCACTGAATCATGAGCTGACGGCAATCGCAAAGTACCTATGGAAAAGTCGAATCACACGCGAACACCGACTGACTAGGCATATAGTAGACACATTGCAAATTAAGGCATAAGCGTGCGAGCACGTGGACGGGAATCTCTGCTTGTCACAATAAGTTCTTTTTGATTCCAAATACAAAAACGCCGTCATGTCACATGCTGATTTGTTGGGTATGAAAAGCTCTGGACTCATGGTCATCAGGCGGCCGAGTCGCTGCGCCCTTCTGTGACATAAACACCCATCTTTTGAACACCGTTATTCCTCTGTGAACACCGAGTAAACCTTGGGCAGGGCCCCAATTCAACACCGACCAGCCGCAAGCAATGCCCAATGAGCCTGACCAACTTAAGCAAAGGTGGAAGGGCGGGTGGCACTGAACACCTTGCATTCATAAGACCGTTACAATATGAAATACTAGCTCAATAGTCAAACAAAATACTGATAACTCATGGAAACGCTCCTCCAACTTATTCCTGCCTGATTGATATTGACCAATCAATCATCAATAGCTTCGTGCATTGGGCAAAACACATCGTGACATGCAGATATCGCAATCTGGATCAGCAGACCCGAATCCCGCAAGTTCTGCTTCAGTCATCCAGACTTTTCCGCCGAACTGATGCCTCGTAAGTTTCTTTGCGAGACACATACCTGCTAGGTCCAGATCTTGAAGATTCACTTCAGTGTCTTGCCAGTCGACCAGGACACGGAGCCCCTCTTCTTCGTTGAGGTCGATGTAGAACGCCTTGATGTCATCGGTGGGGTGACCCTTGGAAGAGAACAACTTGTCTAAGTTGAGCTGGCATCGGTGACCTTGGTTGTCTTCTTAGCAGTCTGAGATTTCCTGGTCCTTCCGGGTCTCACCGCCTCATACAGCTTCGATACGCCGGCTTTCCCGTGCATCTTGGACACCGGGGTCTCTAGCTTGTTCCAGGGCTTGTCACATCTGAAAGACGAAGGTGGAACAAATGATGGCGCCCATGAAGTGTAGTATTTGATGTGGCCGGTCTCGGAATCTTTGCTGAGGGTAAGGTTGATGATCGGGTCATACCTTTGACGAGATACTTCGACCTTGATCCCATCGCCCTTCTGCCTCTTTGTCCTTGACAATGTTCCTTCCTCATCTGCAGCTCGTTTTGAGCCATGAGACTCTGGAACTATTGAATTCTGAAGGACGCTGCCCAGGCTCATTTTGTGACCTTCAAGAATTTGTTGCTCAGACGTCGATACCTTCTGGTAAGTTGAAGGCTGGTTTACAACCTCGCCAGGTGCTGATGACTTCTCGTTCTTGGCCGCTTCAGGCTGTAAATCACCTGAGTGGGAGTCCACAGAGCGGACCGCAGGCGAAGCTGAAAGATTGCTCTGTGGCGCTGAGACGCACGCTCTAGGTTCGTGGCTGGTAGGGACGGCCGCCCTGGCCAGTCCGCCCGAACTGGCCAAGTTCGGATTCTTAGCGACGTGGGCACTGGTTGGGGATCCCGCATGCCGGGAACCCTCGTTGGGCTGCGGCACGTGGTATTGTACTACTTCCATAGGCCGTTTGGCCTGTGGGGTCTCCGAGAAACTTGAGTTGCCAGCTTTGGGTGCGATATCTTTTGCCATGTTTTCTTCTCCGGCTTGAGGCCGTCTGGCTGCCCGGGCAGGCTTGGAATTGGCATCAGGCCGACATTTTGCGTTGTTAAGAACGTCAAGTCTAGATGGTCCTTGGGATATGGACAGTCCTGGACCATGGGAAGTGCTGGAATGCCACAGGGAAGTGCGGCTGGTCTGATCGTTCTGGCCGCTCATGGCGAATGCTCGAACTTCAAATGATGTATGCCTGGTGGTGATGAGGACAATGAGGAATATGATGATAGGATTGGGGTGGAGAGACTGCTACCAGGAGGAATGTTGATGTTGTGTTCAGGAAAGAAAATGCCAGACCTGAGGTGGGAGATCTCGCGGCTTTTATAGTTGGAAGGTCACAGATGCTCCGGCTGCCTCCACTCGAGGAGCCCTCCACGACGGCCATTCTCCTCGGACCTACTAGGCGAACACTGAAATTGGGGGTACAATCCACTCAAGGTTGATAGAACACTATGAAGTTTCGCCGGCTTTCTATAGGTATGCGCGAGAGAAGTTCCCAAGGGCGCAAGAAGACCACCTCAACCTAAAACCTTACCCTTATCTTCAAGGAAGTTCAAAGACGTCCCAGACAATCTCTGACTTGTGCACGATGAAGTGATGAACTGGGGTTTGTTAGAGGGACCTTCAAACCAAGTACAGCCACGCACATTTCTGACCTTGATCATTCCCGTATGTTTGTGATGAGTATGATACTGCGAGCACGTCACTCAATGACGCAGCCTTGAGGTCTCCCACCAGATTGATATTGGAAGCTAAGAAACCAATGGCCTATGCAATTAACAATGGCAAGTACGGCTCGAGGTATCCATCTTCACCCTTACTGTAGCCTTCTCAACTGAACTCTAGATTGGCTTGTAATTATCAGTTCTGAGACGAACCAATTGTCTGAGATTATCCTGGTCTACTCCGTAGTCGGATAAAAGAGTTTCTCAGTCCCGACAATGTGAAGCTCACGTTGTGAGAGTGTTTGTCTATCACACGGTACTGGTCACGACTTCCATCAAAGTTACCAATGAAGCATACGCGCTTGCTATGTACTTCCAACAACTCTTGTTTCGTTGTTTGCAGTTGGGCCCACCCATCTCTGTCGACTCGGAACAAGCTAAAGTTGGATACAAGAGTGCGCAAGCAGCGCAACGAGCAGACAATCCCTTTACTTGTGGACGAAGATGGCACAGACTAGATGAGAAATCCTAGCACGACGAGGAAGGAAGCTAGTGGATCTTCATGAATACTATTTCCAGAGACTGCAAACAACGATAGCGGGTGGATACGGACCACTCATCTGTTAGGCTGGCATTGCGCACAGAAACAGTCGAAGGACGGCTTACCCTCCTGGTAAGTTACCGTGACTTCCTCACCCTCATATAGGTCTTTATTCGCGAGCAAAAGTATGCGAAACCGCTCAGACACCATCGCACCACTGAAGCGGGCTGGAGGCAGGTGGCAGCAATGGTTGACCTTGCGCAGACGATTCCCAGCCTCAGCATACCGTAGCTGGGCCACACAAACCGCCGGCTTGATATCGTGTTTAACAATATCCGTAGCCATCTCAGCGCCCCAGTTTGTAGAGAACGTGCCCGGCGGGACCAGCTCGCCTGTCAATTCCCCCAGAACATCATCTTTGTGGAAGATAGTATGGCCAGGCTGTCCCACCACAAAGAGCCCCTGGCCTTTCCGCTCGCAATCGCGAACTGTAAGGGAGCGGAGAAGGTAGTGGCCACCACGGAGGTGCTGATGATCACACCCACAAGTCTCTGGCAAGCAAGACGAGCAGGGTCGGTCGTGAGCCGTATGGGACGGGCGTACCAGCTCGATGCAAGTGCAGCTTGCGCTCGAACAGTAGCAACACTGCTGTTCGAAGGCTTCCCCAGTCATTGGATCTGCTGGCCATTTCCCTGGCCAATTTTCCGGCTTCTCTTGTTTGTCAAAGCGCCCGGGTTCGTAATAACATTCTTGAACGATCGGGAATCGATGGAGCCACTTCAATACTTCTGCCTCTGAGAGTTGGTCGAGACCTGGAGCATCAGGAGACTCCCATCCGAACTCATCAAGGTCTCGACCTTGGCGAAATGATTCGACGACGTAATCTCCGAGCTCAAGAATCCTTGAAGGGATCCCCTCCCCTGACGCAAGGATGCTGGTAAGTAACTTGACTTCCGTAAGACCAGCCAGGCTTTGAAGTGACAGGTGAAAGGGTGCTGCGCTGAGACCAGTGATAGCACAAAGAATGCCAGCAGGGTAGCGATCCAACTTTTGGCCCAACTCGCGCCATTGCCGTAGCTTCCGGATAGGCATTCCTGAGGCAACAGGGCACGAATCTTGCACCCTCTTCCAGTCCACGTCTTGAAGTCTTGTTCGACCATGGGCAAGTTCGTTGACCTTGATACTGAAGTCAACAAGCAGGAGTCCGCGTATGACTTCACTGTAGATTGCCTTCGATTCGAAGTTGACAATCGCTTGGATCGTCTGGGAAAGGGTTGCATGGTGACTGATGATTGCTGATGAACGGGCCCTCCAGCCACGCACTACAGCTGTCAGGCTGTGAACGGCAAGGTCGCTGTTTAATGCTTGCACGAGGTGGAAGGCTTCAGCTTTCTCGAAGGTATGTTCGATCCGTGTGTAGAGCATCGCCTTTCCGTTGATATATGCAGCCCATGTTTCCTGTGAGGCGCTTTCGTCTGGGCGTATTTTCTGTTCCGCTGAATTAGCCTCCTTCGGCTTTGGACGTGGCTTGGGCTTCGTCCCTTTGGAAAGCGGAGCATGCTCTTTGGAGTGCTGAGATGCGCTTGACGTCCGTGTTGTGGGCTTACTTGGAGGCATAGTCTCCGTAACTTGTGTGCGCTGTCGCGTGTTGTTGCGTTTGGTTTGTACTAGTGTAATCTGATCAAAGTGAGGTTGCACAGGAGCCAGTCCACATTGATCACAAAGACTAATGCTGTCGGGTAGAGCGCGCTCCCCAGGACGCAGAAAGTTGTTTGCCATTTTGACCACAGTGCTATAGTTGATGACCCAATGATATTGTCGTGGTTGAGTTTCCACGAGATCGCTGGGACCGGCAAGTAGGACGACGAAATCAATCCCGGCTGTCTGCAACACATTCGGACTGAGAATGATATTCTCGTGGCGAATAGATTGGTCGCAGCTAGTCCTAGGTCTTGACTTGTCGAGAAGAAATGACTCGAGTTTGGATGTGTGATGCACCGCTACCAGTATCCAGATATTCCAGCCAAGGAGGGTCAAGTTGACTGAGCGCATGGTACCATCCTCGCAGTGGAACGCAGTGCCAGAGTTTCTGTTTCCAGCATGCATGTAGGTGCTGTTGACGCCCGGTACGTCCGGAAAGTGAGGAGGCAAGAGCGCTCTACCAGGGAACAGCATGTCGTCGACATGGCTATCGAACAACAGTGGTCCGACATAGTAAGGAACCTCTTCTACAGGAATGCTGGTGAAGATCTCGTCCAGGTAGGCTCTAACATCGTCGTCTGAAGGAGGCACAGCGCGGTCGGCAAAGTTTGGGGCCTCAAAGGCTTTCGACTCGCCCCTGTACAGATGTACTCGTCCTGGGGTCTTGTGTGTTGCGAAGCGGACGGAGAGAAGGTCGTGCTCGACTTGGGCGACCGTGGCGAAAAGGTCCGGCCAGTTGATGGTCGGCAGGTCAGCGACTCGGCTCAACCCGTGATAACCAGGCTGAAGGGCCACTTTCTCTAGGCTTGCGACGAGATTCTCGCCCATCTCCTCCTTTTCAATCGTGAAGCTGTGGCTCGAGCGGTGGACTTCATAACCTGCTTCCGGTTGTGGCTTTTGGCGGGTAGCCTCAGGACTAGGGTCATGAGTGGAGCTGGCAGAAACGTGGATTGTCTTGGACGGAAGTGGCTGTGGGTTGTCGTCCTCGGGGCATTCTGTAACGTATGGGGTGACATACTGGCTGGCGTCGCTCAGTCTTTTGCGCTTTCTGCCTGAGTTTTGCGCCGGCCGTTCGTCGTTTGTCGTAGCTACTTCGTCGTTTGTCGTAGCTGCAAGACGCGTCAGGGCATCACAGGCACCTGTGAGCGCGTTGATTAGCCCGGCGTGGGTGGTCGCATCTAGCTCCGACACAAACTGGGTAATGTGGCCTGCAAGCTCAGTCGCGCGATAGACTAAAACAGCCATCATGAGACTAGACTGCGCGCAAAGCGTGGAGAACGTCTCATCAAGTCGTGCGTCGCGTCACTGCTCGGGCTAGCTCATACTCAATGGCCCATACAAAGCGAGTTACTGTGCTTGGCTGAGCACGGGCCACAATGACATTGGGATGTAATTGTGGCCCGTGCGCGGGTCAGCGGCCTTGTGGGCCTTGGCGTGTTCCAGGCACCACCCCGCGATCTCGGCATCGCATCAGGGATATATAGCGACTTGTACCCGCACCAAACACTCGCGCTTGAAGGGAGCGACACAACTCGCGGACAGGATGCTGCCTACTAAAATGTATCTACCTCCTAGAGCCCCAGCAGGCAATGGCGACGGAGGCACTTTGTCTTTAGTGCCATAGCTAAGGCTGCGGCATGCGTGTACCAGCAGCGGCAGCCTGGGGCGCACTCGAGGAGATTGAAGAAGCCAATGGCTCGGGACTAGGTCTCAGAGTACAGACAAGGCTCGACTCGCGTGCTTGAAGCACGTTCCGGCTCTCTCATGGACTACGTAGTAGGCAGTTGAGGGTAGAGTGTCTCGATCACGGCGGTGTTCAATTGCTAGGTACATAATGACTGGGCAGTTTAGACCGAATGGTTGGCAGAGACACATAAGATGGTGCAACCTGGACCTTTCTTGGCAACTTAGAATCGCGCAGCTCTTCCGGTGTACATAGTGGATGGGAAGACAAGCGGCAACAGGACAGATACATTGGCGTGACCTACGCACAGCGAAAGAGCTCGCGGGGTCGTTGCCGGAGAGTCAGCTGTTCCGCGCCAAAAGTCCAAAAGGGTTATCCATCTTCGCGCTGCCAATCATATCATCTCCGTTCCCGCCGGCGTAATTGTCATACGACGTCCGGGCCCGGACATGATGGGGCCGATTCAATTATTCGGTTTCAGGATCGGGTACTACACGCTTGACAACGCTGCGAATAATGGTACGGCCATGGAAGCGCTTGGCGCTGAGTTCAATTTCGACAGGGATGAGCGTCGCATTCGCTGCGCCCCTCATTTTCTGAATCTGGCAGTCAGGGCCATGATGTACGGCAGCAAAAGGGATGATTTCAACGAGCTGCTTGCTCACTGGGGCGATGAGGACTTTATGACTGAAGAAGACGAGCAGCGACAGTTGTCCGACACCATCAATGAGCTGGCGGCGGACGACGACTTCAGTGAGCCGAGCATGGATGAAGACTTCGAGCTCGAAACGATCCCCGAGGACCGTCAGGATCAGTGCCCAGTCCCTGAGATTATTAACGCCGAGGAAATGGACAAGTACCGCAAGTTTGGGCCGTTTGGAAAGCTACACAACATCGGCATCGCTCTTCGAACGAGCAGTCAAATTCTCGAGGCCTTTTTTGACGCTCAACGGCAAACCGCCCCTACTGAACCTGTTCTTACGTGGATTCAAAACGTCTGTACTCGCTGGCAATTCGACGAGGCAATGGCCTCACGCGCTCTGCTGAAACGCACAGCCTTGAACAGGATGCTTTCCACCATTGAGGAACGATGGGTCAGCCAAGGCGGCAAAGAACAAGAAAAACCCACGATATTGAAAGAAAAGCTTTCCCTTGAGGAATGGAAGGTTGTTGCTACAATGCAGAAGATCCTTCAACCGTTCAAGGTCGCCTCAAGGCAACTGCAGGGCGAGGGTATTGCTGGTAAACGCTCAACTTCAGGGGGGTTCGACGAGTACTTCCAAGTGGTGGAGATGCTGCTTGACCACCTCGAACTGGCCGTTCAAGGGGTGATAATTGAAGAGAACGACGACCAGATCATGGAGGAGGTTCAACTGTTCGAGGATATGGACCGAAAGACCCGGAGGCTTTTGAAGGTTTACGTCAAGCTCGGATGGAAGAAGCTGAACGACTACTATGGCAAGCTGACCTCTCCTGCCTATGTAGCGGCGGTTGTGTTCCACCCCTGCAAGAAGTGGCGAGCTCTAGAACGGCTTTGGAACCAACTGCCCTGACCATCATTCCGGCGGGAACTTGCCTGACCATCATTGCCGGCCGGGAAGCCCTCACTTTCGCGCACTCCTGACCATCATTCACAAGCAGATTGCGTCCAGTTGGCGCGTCTCTGCCATACAACAGGGGGCGGGCGCTTGGGCCATTGCACTCATTCTGAACCCCAAGTGCTACATATTAGGATTGGCACTTGGACACAAACTTACGGTGGGCAGGGATGATAACCCCCAGGAACCACCCGCCCCCCGGCCATTTGGGCTACCCCCATTTTCCCATAAGGTTCAGGTAAGTGAAGGAGAGAGCTGGGGTTCACACGGCAGACACCGGGCGGGAAAGATGAAGGGTGAGAGCCACGCGACGACGCGTTGTCGCAGCTCAGGCACAGAAAAAAAAAGGAGAGTTCATCATTAGGCTAGACCGGTAGATAGATATAAAAAATATGTCAATACTTACGACCATGCTTTATCTACGTCATTCGAGCTCTACTGTACAGTGGTAATTGAGGCACTACTAACAAACCCGTCCAGACGCGAAACGCGGCAGCGACTGCAGCGAGACCAGGTGCCGCAGCCGGGCAACGTCAGGGAGTAGAGATGGAAGACCATCACGACGACGCCGGAGCGCCCCCATCGGAAATCAATGTATATCTCCACGAGGAGTCGCGCGTTCTTATATGCTCGGTATGCAAGGCTGGCATCCAGCCCCGGCCCGGCATTGAGTCCCACTTCCGGCGGAGGCACGGCGCAAAGGGTGCTGTTCTGCAGCGGATCCGGGAGAAGGCCACGACAGCCGCCGCAACGGCAGGTGGGCTGGCGGACCCACAGACAGCGGAGACGCCAGCAGATGGGACGTCGCCCGTCCAAGAGCTCCGGGTACAGGCCGGGTTCAGCTGCACAGCATGCCGCTTCTTAACGACAAACGAGATGGTAATCCGGCAGCACTGGACAGGGAGGAAGTCGGAGGTGGACGATAGCCATGGTTGCTATGAGCGTTCAAAGAATAACTGGACAGCCGTAGCACTCCAGTCTTTCTCCCGAGCGAGGCAGCTTACACGATACTGGATTGTCGACACCACCACTCCGCCACATCGAGTAACCACAGGAGAGGAGACTACGACTGGGAGAGAGGCAGAGTTATGATCTGCCTTACCGGATACAGAGTGGGAGCTGCAGCTTCGCAAGTACGAGGCGAAGGCTACAGCAAAGGCAGAAGAGCGGCAACGTATGATCGGTGAGGAGACGGGGGTCGATTTTGAGTCTGTGCATCTAGCAGGGTTGGACATGGCTGAGCTTCGAAGGGCCGCTCAGCCAGGTCTGACTCCAAGGGAACTGGCCAGGCTAGGATGGGCAGCAAAGAGAGGCCGAGAAGAGGAGGAGGCGATGTTTGTGCGACTGGGCCAGAGCTTCGACCGGACGATTTCTCGATGCGAGCAGCGGATCGGGCAGGTCCCCGTCGAGACGCTCTGCTGGTTGGCGAGCCGGGATCCAGGACGTCCAGCTCCACAACCGTTCGAGCTAAAGCAGGAGGCTCGGACAAGAGAGAGGTATCGCGCGTACTGGAGACAGTATCTCTGCTACTGTGTCCGAGCGTATCGTCTTGGCCGGTCAGAAGCGAGGACGAAGCGCCATATTCGACTAAGCGATGCGCAGTGGCTAGCTCTTGTGAATCTAGTCGACGCGCTTAGCAGCAGCGCAAGTAACAGAGGGGGAGGGCTTGTAGTTCCCGGGAACATGGAGCGGGATGAGGACTTAGATGCACGGGTCTTCACATTTTGCATCTCGTCACTCAAACAACAGGTCATAGTGGACCAATTCAAGAACCCGCTTCTGCACTTTACTGCCGTGTTGGCTATTGACCCCGCACGGGCAAAATGGAGGGCTCCCGGCGAGTTCACGGGAACACTAGCCGGGCTGGCGTGGTGTAGTCGCGTGCTACTACTTGAATTGGGTAGGAGACGGCGGAGGCGTAGAGACGCATGGGGAGTCCGTGCGGGGCAGGGATGGATACGAGGTGGTAGTTCCAATCCGTCGCTGGCTCCCATGCCTCGCGACCTTCGCGCTGTCCGCCAACCGACACACTACCAATCCACAAATTTGAGCGACCTCCGTCGGCCCATGCCTTCAAGACCTAGAGATCCTCGCCGAGGCTGATCAGGGCGTCCACCCAGACTCTCATGCCGAGGCGGCACTCGAGGCTCGATCGCAGGTCTCGCAGAGCCGCCTCCAGACGCTTGCTCGCGCCCCCGCGCAGTCTCCCAATGCAAGACTGGTGGGTCGTTGGCTTGACATTCCATCCTCAGGCACCACATCCTCGCCATGCGGTCCGCATCGGACTCGGGGACATTGAGCCGGAATGGAAAATGAAGTCTTATTGGTCAAACTTTTGATCCTGCAGTGCCTCTCGAAATGCTTCATTCGAGATGAGACTTTGGTTTCTGTCGTTCCCATGGTTTGTGCGTTGGGAGAGGCAGCTTGCGATCAAGTCCCCTGCCTACCCAGCGACTGCATGACTGGGTAGGCGCACAACACAACTTGAAACGTTATCCACAGCAGACTCTAGCTCTCTCGCAAAATCGTCCTTCCCTTGTTTCTGTGATGCCCCACGCTTCCTCTTCCGATTCAGGCCACTACGGCCTATCGAGCCGAGAGGCTGGCGACCGCGGAACTCTGCACGTTCGAAATCCACAACCATGAGATTGCCACTGTTTGTATCGCAGAGGATGTTGCGTGGCTCCGCGTCACGGTGGAGAACGCGCAGTTTGTGCACTGCCTTGAATATCGTGGTGACCGCTTTGACGACGCCCGCCTTGTTGGTCTGATCACCGCAGTCAAACAAGGGCCGCCCAGCCCAGCTGAGAAACATGAAGTGCACGTAAACACCGCTGTCGTAATAGTATGGCCGAATTAAGTCTATGCTGCCGAGACAGACGGGGATGTGCTTCCCCTGGATGGCCCGGAGTCGGTCGTATATCTCGTTCTCGTGCTGCATGCAGGCACGGTCGAGACCCTCCATACCCTTGGCAACGAGCGTATAGCCGTGGGTTGACAGCCGCACCTTGAAGAGTGACCCGCGCGCCCCGGATCGATGGAGTGGCGCACAATCCGCATCGCGGCCGCGGTCCATGGCAAGCTGGTCTCTGATGCGGCGGAGGAACTCGAGCCGGTCGATGTGCCCCTGCCCGTGATGGTCCGAGTTGGGGCAGTTCTCGTCCGTGGGCCCGCCAAATGCTAATCCCAGAAGGCATTGTTGAGTGCAGAATGGCCGGCCTTGTATGTTCGGCTTCGTCGCTTGGCCTTGCTCCCGTTGCTCGCCTTGGCGCCGTCCTCGTTTCCCACCACCCCCCGAGCCCGGTCCCGTCGACGGCACCACTTTCCCGCCGGTGCGAGATGGATTCGGAGTAGGAGAAGGAGGATCTTCGTCGTCGTCCTCTGGGCGTCCAACGTTAGCGTCCAGTTGCTGGCAGCGGGAGCGGGTCCGAATTGGCGATCGCTTAAAGCCCTTCCAACGCTGGGGCTTATAGGGAGAGGCGCGGGGTTCCTTGCGTTTGCGCTCCGTCACCGGAATATTCCTCAGAATATCGTCGTACTCGACAGCCCAGGTATCAAGCCTCTCGGCCTCGTCATGCCATGACTCGGGCGGCGGTCTCGCGCGGAGAGCCTGGAGAATGAAGGCGAAGACCTGCGCGGCGGCCGTGCGATGGAGCCTTGTCTCGTCGTCGTCCATAACGTCCAGGTTCGGCACGCATACCGAGAAGTAAACGGTAGCAGGATCGTCCGGGATATGGAGGAAGACGAAGGCCTCTCCCGTGCACACGTAGCCGTACTGGATGCCCTTGCCGATCATGTACGAGAAGAGTTGGGTGACGACAGCTGCGGTAAGTGCCCTGGCCGTGAAGGCGAAGCCCTGACCGTCGTTGTTGATCACGTCACGTTCCGGCCGAATTTCCGACTCGAGACCTGTGACGACCTCGTCGACGCTCAGCTTGTGTGGCGCCTTGTATTCGATAGCGAGTGCCGGGACATTCTGGCCGTCCGAAGTCCTGTATATACAGAACTGGTCCGCCCGATTACCCTTGCCCCTCGCCCTGCGACGGGCCTTGGGAGCGCCCGGTGGCTTCGGGGCAGACGCCGACGCCGACGCTGCGGCATCGGCACCGCCCCTGCCAAGAGACATGTGCTCCATGGGCTCGGAGATGGGGTCGTCGTCAGTCGTACCGAGATTCGTATGGCTCTCGAACGTCACGGTTCCCTGGAGGCCGAGACTGCTTCGCAGCAGCGGATCCATGTATGCCCTATCAACCAGCTTCTGTACCGCGTTTTCGATGACATCACGCTCAAAGTCCCGGAGCCCAAGCTCACTGCTAATAGGCTTGAGCAAGGACCTGACGTATTCCAACTGATGTTGAGATGGGAAGGTGGGCAGGGAGGAGAAAAGGTCGCTGATCGAGAGGTCGTCCCAGATCTCCCCTTGTCTCGTTGCGAAGTCGTCCCAGGGGATGATTCGTCGAGGGAAAATTCGGCCGGTCGGGTTGGTAGTGTCACCTTGCGTAGTCAAAGATTGGTCAGTTACGACCTGAATAGCAAGGTTGAGAGAGTGACAGGCCTCGAGATATTGCTGGAGGTCCTGCGGTTGTGATGCTGTTGCAAGTTCTTCGGCCACTTCGCGTCGGCGTTGCTCCTCTTCGCGTCGGCTCTCGGCCTCTCGTAGCAACTGTCGCAGCTTTTGCAGCTCTTCATCCATTATGATTGTAGCGTAGGCAAGCAGCCACCACGGTGGAACGACAAGCCCGAGTGTATTCGTCGGGCGAGGCGAGGGCTCGTTTGGGCCAAAGTTGGAAGGTTGGACGGCAGCCGATGAGGGGTGGGCAGTCTGACAAAACTTGGGTATGGTCGATACTGGTGGTGGAACTCTTCTGGCGGACCAGACACGAAGCTGCGATGTTTCAATTGGAAGAAGGTCGGGATTGAGGATTGTAGATGTTGAGAGCGCGTGAGGGTGTGATCTGGCACCATGACGCGTTTGTTGTTATCTGGGACTGCAGGTTGCTCTTGTCGGCGTTAGGCGATGCCGGCGTTACTTCGGGAACCGGCCCGCCTGCCACCAAGCCGCCACGACCGAGCCACCTAGGCTCCGAATTAGTCAGCCTCGCGCCAGTTGCCACTGATCGGCGACACAGAAAATCAACTAACCCGGCCAACCAATGAACGCGCAGCATCTACCCAATCCGGCCGTCATGGGGAATCTGTGCCTCCAGGGCAACAATGGTATGTCACGGGTGTGGGAGTTTCAGTCTGCAAGTGGCAAGAAAGGGAGGTAGAGGAAGGGAATAAAGAGAGAGAAAAATGGAGGGGGGTGGAGGGGAGAACGAAGAGGAGAGAAGTGCGCAGAGAGCGGAGCAGACGGATAGAGGCAGAAGGGGGAGCGGAGGAGGGATGGCGGGAAGGGAACAGAAAAGGGAGTAAATGAGGGAGCAAGAGGAGCAGAGGAGCAGAGCAGAGACATATGTAGGAACAGAACAATAGTTTCGCCATTCGGTGTAGGCCTGAGAGCGAAGCAACACGAGTGCAAAGACCAATAGGGAAGGCGCTTGACGCTATTGTGCGGGACGGCGTGGCCGACATCACCAAGCTAGAGTTTCTCGGTTATATTCAACAAATACGCAGCCAAGCCTTCAAAAAAGCGACAATTATATCGGGCTTCAGACGGACGGGTATTTGGCCATATAATCCTGAAGCTGTCCTTGCCGAATTGCGACTGCGTATGCCGGCAAAGACACCAAGTCCACCGCCGGGGCCGTCTCATAGGTCCCAACACTCCGGGTCTTCGTTCTGCTCAGCGCCCGTTTCAGTCCGTCAAATAAACAAGGTTGCTGACAAGATTGGGAAGGTCCTTGAGTCCGTTGATGATCTTGATCCACGCTTTTGTTACGATATAAGTCGGTTTCTCCGGGGGTCACTTATGAACGCGGTGGAGTTACTCCAGACAAAACGCGACCTCGGACGCACCCGATATGCGGAAAGAGTTCAAAAACAACGCCGGGCCATGAAGAATATCACATTACAGAATGGAGGGCGCCTTCGGGTTGCCGATGGGCGCAAAATGGTGGTACAGCGGCAGGAAGATGAGGTGGCAAACGCCCGGAAGGTGGTCGAGGCAGCAGAGTTAAAGTATCGTAACGCACTCAAACGTTGCTATTTTGAGACGGCAAAAGAGGCACGCTTATGGCGGACGTCAGGGAAGCTTGCTATGGCATCTATTTACGAAACTGGCTATCCATGCCGGTTGCTGAAGCGATTCGAGTTACAATAGAGGAAAAAGTGGCGATAT